CCGGGCAACTTGGTGAGACCTTGTCTCTACAATAAATAAAAAATTAGCTGGGCATGGTAGCACACACCTGTTGTTCTGGCTACTTGGAAGACAGAGGCGGAAAGATCACAACCTGAGTCCAGCAGGTTGACACTGGGGTGACTGTGAGCATGCCACTGCACTCCAGCCTGGGCGACAGAGTGAGACTCCAACTCAAAAATAAATAAATAAATAAATCTAGCAGTGGTTCATGCCTGTAATCCCAGCACTTTGGGAGGCTGAGGCGGGAGGACTGCTTGAGCCCAGGAGTCTGAGACCAGTCTGGGCAACATAGTGAGATCCTGTCTCTACTAAAAACCAAAAAATTAGCAGGGCATGGTGGCATTGCCCGTAGTCTCAGCTACTGGGGAGGCTGAGGTGGAAGGATCGCCTGAGTCCAGGAGGTTGAAGCTGCAGTGAGCCATGAGCCATGACTGTGCCACTGTACTCTGTCTCGGTGAGCGTGAGACCTTAACTGGACAAAAGAAAAAAAAAATTCCGAGGCAGTATCTTGGCACAAAGGAAAGAGTAGTAAAGAGTGACGATCGATTAGCAATGTCTGCTGTGGAAACCTATGGTGAAGACACGGCAGGCACACTGCTTGCCATCCTTGTGCTTAGCTGACCTCCATTCCCTGCTTTCACAGAAATGCTTGGAAAGAAAGTATATGGAGGCCCACACCAGCCTCTAAGGAGAAGAGACAGTTTCAGTCACCATGCGGGCTGCCCTCCAGGGTCCAGGCAGGAAGCCAAGGGTCAGCATCCGGGGACTTCTTATTCACCTCCTCAATGGAATCGTAGAACACCAGCTTCTGCCTGCAAGGCGTGGGATTTAAGAGACAGACACACAGCCCTGGGCTGGAAACTTCTGTGTGGCTCCCTTGGGTGTCTCAGTGTGGCCAACTGTGAAGACATGGATTGGCCACACTGGCCCTTGGGGGAGTGCTGTAGGCAGAAAGCTCAGCCAGAGGAGGCTCCCACCCTCAGGGGGCTTCAAGTCTTGGGAGACAGACCAGCTGATAAGCAGATGCTGATGACATGGGGAGCAGGGCTGTGACCAAAGGGCTCTGAGGCAGTGCGACTGTGGTGAGCTCAGCTTGGAGGATGGGCTGTTTTCCAGGTGCAGAGGGAGAAGAGCCCAGAAGGGCCAGGGTATGTCTCTGTGGGTAACACCGAATATCCAGTGTTGTTAAATGTATGATTCACAGGTGAAGGGCAGGAGAGAGGGCTGACAAGGTGAGTTGGAGACCACAGAGGTCTCATGTGCCAGTTAAGATATTTGGGCTCTACCCTGTAGGCACTAAGGAAGGACTTTAAACCACAGCTGACATGATCAAGGTCTGTGTGTTAGAAAAGTCACTTGGTCAAGTGAGGATGGGCTGGAGGGGCGGCAGGGAGGTAGGGAAACCAGTGAGGAGGCTGCAGCCATGTCCCTGAAATAGGAAGTCAGGTTTCTTGTGAGCTCACAGCAGCCAGCACAAAGCTAGGCCCTTAGCGGTGCTGAAGGGACCAACAGTCAGCCTCATCTCACTACCCCTCAGCCACGGCAAGCCAACACCTCAGTGCCACCCACTTAGCACCCCTGGGGCTCCCTTACCTCGGACAGGGCTGTGTCTCATTGAGAAAACGGATCCTCTCAGCACCTTCCTGGGCCTCGCAGGCAGGATAAGGCCCACCATCTTGGGCATTTCTGTAACAGCCTAAGGGGGCAGATCAGGATGCCTATTCCTGTGGACTAGGCCAAATTTCAGGACTCCCAGACTCAGGGGATGGGCGGAGGCAGGTTCTGCCACATGGTCTCTCACTCCCCATCCAGGCCAAAACCTCAGGTTGCAAGACCTCTGTGTGAAGCTGGGGATACCCCAAATCACCCCTAGGCTTCTTGAATCCCACAATACTATCAGAAGTTTTTTTTTTTTTTTTTTTGAGTTTTAATGATGATAACACCCCTGAGGGGAATGCTGAGGAGGATAGCAAATATGCATGCGGTAAGCACCGTGAAGCACCTTCCTGAGCATCTCACACACCATTCGGCAACAATTTGCCAAAGGGTACCATTATTATACCTGTTTTACAGGTAAGTAAACTGAGGCAGTGAGATCTCAAGTAACTTGCCCAAGGTCACAGAGCTAGCAGGAAGATCTGAGCCTTTACTGACCCGCGGGCTGGGTCAGATGCCTCCTCTGGGTCTCCAGCCTCTTGGGCAAGCCTGGATCACTCTGGACTGCCAGTATCTGGTGATGTGAGTGACCCCGCAGATGGAAGCTGCAGTGGCTATGAGCATGCCGTTGTACTCCAGCCTCAGTGACAGTGAGACTTCGACACACACACACACACACACACACACAAAAAACTGGACTGCGAATTTGGTCACTGATGTGTCACCATCCCCCACTCCCCCCAACCTTGGCACATGGCCTGGTACAGAGGAGGTGCTCAAGGCATAAGGGCTGTATGAACACATGGGGGAATGAGATGACTTGGGGTCTCGCAGTCTTGAATTCAAATCTCCCTCTCACCAGCACCCTGCAGCTGTCATCACATCTTTTCCAAACTAGTGTGATGACAGGGGAGTCACGAGAGAGTCTGGCTGCCTCAAGTGAAGCCTGATAAGGAGGCCCTGCCCTCAGTCTGTTCAGTGACCTGAAGCCCAGACCCAAGGGTGACACTGATCTCATCCCACCCATACCACCATGATAGAGCCAGAAATGAAAAGGAACACAGGAACAAGGTTAAAAGCTCCGGGAAGGGAGAGGCAGGGTCTTTCTTGTTCACTGTTGTATTCTCACTACTAGTACTGTGTCTGGGACACAGCAGGTGCCCCAAATAGCATCTAAATGAAATACTAAATTTTTTTTTTGAGTTGGAGTCTCACTCTGTCGCCCAGGCTGTAGTGTAGTGGCACGCTCCCGGCCACTGCAGCCTCGACATGCTGGGCTCCGGCGATCCTTCCGCCTCAGCCTTCCAAGTAGCTGGAACTACAGGTGCATGCTACCATGCTAGGCTTATTTTTTGATTTCTTGTAGAGGTGAGGGCTCATCAAATTGCTCAGGCTGGTCTCAAACCTGTGAGCTCAGGCAATCCTCTCACCTCAGCCTCCTAAAGTGCTGGGATTACAGGCTTGAGCCACCACACATGGCCTGAAAGACTAAATTAATGGTGAGGAAAAAGACCAACTTGAGGGGTCACAGTGGACAGTGTTCTTGGCCATGTTCAGTAATGTCAGCTGGGACAGACCTCCTTTTCTATCACATTGAGATGAGGATGATGCAGCCTCGGGGCAACCGTAGGAGTCAGGGCATCTTGGAGGTGTGGTGGTCTCCCCCATGTTTCCTCCTTTCTGGTTTGGGGATGAGGCCATCAGCTTCTCAGGCTTGTCCAGGATCAGAGAGCGGCGAGGCTTCTGGATCCGAGTCTGGCATTCTGAGAGAGCAGAGAGTAGCCGTCAGAGGGGCCCCGGGGTCCTGTCACCAGAGTGTGGCTCGGGTGGGGGCCTTCTTTGCTGTGGATCTGACAACCTGTTTCAAAGCTCTGCCTAGCCTGCTCACATACCAGCCCTTCTGGGCAGGCCCAGATCCTCAGTTAGAGGCCACTTAGTCCAGCCCCTGTCCACACCTTAGAATCGCATTGTGAGTTTAAAAAAAATACTGAAGTTGGGCACAGTGGCTCACCCCTGTAATCCCAGTACTCTGGGAGGCAGAGGTGAGAGGATTGCCTGAGTCCAGCCTGGGCACCTTGGTGAGACCTCATCTCCACAATAAATCAAAAACTTAGCCAGGCATGGTGGCACATGCCTGTAGTTCCAGCTACTTGG